CAATCAAACTTGAAGCTGGAGAATTTCATAGCCTTACCAGGCAGGAGAAGCTCTTTTCTAAAAAAGTTCACAACTAAAAGGCATTGGTGTTGGGAAATCTCAAGAAATGACAGATTTAAGCCTTGTCAAGTCACAAAAGATTGATCCGAAAGTGTGATAAATATCCACTACTATCAGATGAAAATTAAGGTGTACTGTATAAATTTACAAACCTGAGGTAACTTCATGGCAAGACAAAATACCTAACACCTAACCAGTACTCTCTATGCCCAAAATATTAAGACAAGGAAGATGTACTCATACTGCTATTCTAGCATTCGGGAAAAACAACAGAGAATGTAAAATGGAAGTTCCACCTTATGCACCGAAATTGTATTCAGGGGCAAAAGAAGCTCACAAAAGAGGAGAGCGGGCAGTCCTGCTTTCACATTACTTCATTGACCTAAATTTAACTTCATGTTCTGATAATTCAGGCGAAAAAAAATGAGGGGACAAATAAAGCAGCAAAAGTTTTTCCCTCTTTCGTTTGTTTACACAGACATACAGTTTAGTCTTTGCTTGACAAATAAAATTTTGGTCTCTGTATAATATGATAAATAGCTTCAAAAGTTACCTCAGCATGAAGCTTCTCCATTGGCATCCATTCTCCTGGACCACAGAGATCAGAAAGCACATTAGCTACAGACGACACGACATCCTTTTCTTCTAACTGCATGAGCTGCTGATTGTCAGCATCTCTGTCAACACGCAATCTTCCATCTGTCTTCTTATCTGCAACATGTTTCAGCCAAATAACTTCCATACTTCAGATTTTTCCAACAGATTTTGAGTATATATGCTTGACAATTATAGTTTGTAAATCATTTAAGGAAGATTAATCCGGTACTGGAATACAAATTACAGGATACAAAGGGGAGAAAAATGAAATTTTGTACCCATATTACGTCCTAAATATATGTACAATGATTCTTAAATATCACAAAAAGTTTTTTAAGATTTCCGCCGTTCTTCCTAATGACATCATTAGAACATACAAGTCAGAACCATGTTTAAGAATTTACTAATCTGCAGCGGATATCATTCACATTGCATATGTAGGGTTCAAGCAATGCTTTAAACACCTCAAAATAGCAAATAACTGTCAGTCAAACGACTATGCCTCAGTCCCAAGTTAAAACAGCCAATGTTGCAAGACAGCTTATATGTCTAGGACAATCAAAACAGCCATTGAGTCCAACACAATAACACTAAACGAAAACCAATCACCAGAGGGGTTATTGGAAAGAGAAGGCAAAAGAAAAAAATGAATTACTGTTACATGATCCGCGATGAAGTTTCTATCCCTGAAGCTTGAAGATTGTAAGAGAGAGGATTTCCAAATTCCAGGTGGATTATGCATCAAATATTCTACTCATGTAGGCATTAGAGGTGACTGAGGTGCTTCCGTCTTAGCAAGCCACTTTTATGCTTTGGTAATTTCAGGAACGAGTTTACGGAAAGGTCGAATAAATGACTTGTACATTTCACAGGGAAGCAGTTTTTGAATACTAATTCAAGCACAAAACCTGTCCAAAGCCTAAGCTGAATCGTTTTGTGCCTCTCGAGGTGCTGTAAAAAGAGTCTACAACAGAATCTTAATCTCTACACACTTTGAGCATCTGTCAGCAGGAGCTAAAGCCATGGAACTAAACCACCGCCGTTTACGGAACGAATTCTGGTCAGACTGGTTTAAAAAGAATATAAAATATAATCACAGAGCAAAAGCACCTCTATACACAAAGTTGTTCAGGGAAACACCTGTATTCCACAGTGGAAATGTCAATAACTCCTTACACTAAACAAAAGATGACCTTTTTACAATTAGGTACTTCACGAGCACAATAGAACCTTCATAATCCTCAATTATCATTCCCACAAACAGAAGTTAAATAGATTTCAATTCAATGTAGCTCAATCGAATACCAAAATCTCAATACAATAACAAAAAGATGACTTTTTAGTGTTTAGCAATTCACGAGCATAATAGATGCTTCACAATTCTCAATTATCATCCCACAAACAAAAGTTAACATAGAATTCAATTTAATAGAGCTGAATTAAAATACAAAAATCCAAATGCAATGTACCATGGTACAAGTGCAATTTTAAACAGAAAAAGAACTAATGCCCTCTAACATGTGCTAGGAAGAAAATAATGATTAACCAAGATTAAATACCATAAAACAAATCTATGTCTGTTATAATAAAATGAAGTTATAGAGAGATCTTACTATACCATAGCACAGATAAAACTTACTGACCTAATTGCCCGGAAATTGAAGCTTTTCCACTGGAACCACAAGAACCATATCCATAACCACCACCACCCTCAGCTCCATCACCCCTCCTCATCTTCTTACCTCCAGTACCATCATCATCATCACCATCATCATCGTCGTCATATTCCTCCTCATCATAATACTCCCTCTCCCTCCCTCTAAACAGTCCCCCCTTTTTCCCTACCCCACCATAACGGGCCGCCACTGGATAATTCACATTCACATTCACATGTTGTTTATGTCCAATAGGCGGCCCACCACCAAGGATACTACGTACCGGAAGGAGGAAATAAAACTCTTTATCTCCGATCTGAAGTAAGTCTTGTGAATCTAATTTGATCGGTGGGTTACCGGGTAAGTGAAGTACACCTTCGACAAAGCACCCGTTTTTGCCTAATACTTCGAGGTTAAAACGGCGTCGTTGGAAGTCGTAAAAAATGCGCGCGTGGTGACGTGAGATGTTCATCCCGCCGCCGAGTGATGATAAGTCGACGTCGACCGTTGATTTTTTGGAGTTCCGGCCGAGGATTATGGAGTACGTTTGCATGTAATACTCGAAATCTTCTCCTTGTAGCTTAGCGAATCCTGCTTCTACGTCGCTGCCGCTGCTGCTTCCCATATTATCGGAGTTTCCTTTCTCCGGCGAGAATAAGAACGTGACTGTCAAGGTGGCGATTAAAGGTGTTTTGGCTATTAGTAGGGATTTTGTTGTGCCGGATTTTTTTTTTTATAAAAACAGAAAACAGCCTGAAAAGGTAATTAGCAAATAATTCTGGTTATTTGAAAAAAAATACTGAGAAAATATATTTATTGGAAGTAGTTTAATTCTGTGTTTGAAACAAGTATATATGGTTCGGAAAAATATAATTTCGTTTTTCAAATCAAGTAATTATATTTTTGTTTTTTTTTGAATTTTACTTTTTTTTCTTTACCCTTACCTAGGAGACACTTTGGCTTAATAACTGAGCAATCCTCTCTTGTATTTGAATTTTACTTCGAAAACATTTTTATTCCACACTTTATGCAGGAAGGTGTTTTCTGACTCAAAAAAAGAAGGTATTTGCTTATGTCCTAAATATAAATTTCATGTATATTCATTTTATTTTGATCCAGAGGCGGCTCAATAGTATTGAAGGCCTAAAGCCAAGGCATAATAAGACGCCTTAAACTTGTTTAATAATTTTAGATATCTTTGTTGAAGTTTATTGGGGTATTATCACTTTTAGCCCTCGCCATAAACTATTTACATTTGGTAGCCGAAAAAGTGTATAAAACTTATATAATTTTTGTATATAGTATACAGTGTGTGTGTGTGTATATATATATATATATATATATATATATATATATATATATATATATATATATATATATATATATATATATATATATATATATACAAATTTTATATATTTTTTGGTTGCTATTTTTACAGCGGCTATACAATGTCATTTTTCCAAGTTTATTCTTTTTACTTTTTGAGATGCAAATTCATCTTGTTGATGATGTAACCAATCCCTTTAGTTTTTGTTGAAATATTACTAACATTTGATAAGATTTTATTAAGTTTAGTTTTGATTTTTTTTTTTTCACTTGACCGTCAAGTGACAATCATGTGGAAATTCGTATTTACAAAGATGATAAATAAATTAACTATAGCTTTTGATCTAATTAGCTTCGTAGATTTAATTGCCTTGCACTTTTATTTGAATTTTCTCAACCAACTCCAAGAAAGGACAACACAAAATATAAAACTATGTTATTAACAATTGGTGACAAGGTAGCAAAAGATGGTTGAAAAAATTTCTTGTCACTATTTAATCATAAATACAATAAATATTCAAACTACATATAAAAAGAGTAGCTTTTGGGGCCTCTAATTTTATGAGGCCTAAAGCGGACGCTTTAGTGGCCTAGGGGTTTAGCCACCTCTGTTTTGATCATTTTATTATTCATCGTAGGTTTTAGAGTTGCTTGTGGTAGGGATTCTTTTAGAAGATTTAACCCAAATAGCCGCTCACCTAATCTTTTAAACTTAAAATAGCCGGTGAATATATAATATACATATAATTCATATATAATATATGTATAAATACGTATAATTAATGTATAATCTATGTATACCGGCTAGAAAAAGTAAATATTAAATCCGGACGGCTATTTGTATAACAACCCCTTTTTTTTACCTCCAAAAAATAAAAAAATCAATTCGAGTCCGAATTAATCAAGTCTATAGATGACACTAGATTTTTGAAAAAGGATAATATATACAACGTTACTCTCAGTGTTGTTTTTCTTTTGATCTTTTAATTATAAGCTATTTTTCACCCTTTATTTTTGTATATAAAACCATGTAATATTTTATTTCCTCTCATGCTATTAATTCATTTATCTACCCCTCTATAATTCTGTAGCTTTTATAGTATTTTGGATCTGTGCAGTCTAATGCATGCTCGTTTGTTGACTTATCATTATGTTCACTAAATAGTGGCACATACTTATTAGTCTAAAATAATGCATGTTCCTTTGAAAAAGTATTGAGTTGTATTTAATTAAACTTCGACTTCTAGAAAACACCAAATAGCACATTCTATTTAGAAAAAATTGCGGGTCGGACCAGATCCATATCAGGCATATCTGAAACTTGAAAGCCCAGGCCCATTTACTTGTTATATATTAGCTGGAAAAAATTACCTACGGAGGGACGCAGCTGCTAAAAGCCTAAACCTTCAAACGTCGAAGTTCAGACCTTCAACTAGGGTTTTGGCAGGATGATCATTCCGGTGCGCTGTTTCACTTGCGGCAAGGTAATTTTGCTCCTTATCTTCATTATCAGAAGAAACGAAGTAATTTCCTTGTCGTTTACATATTTTCCAAGGAAAAGAAGCTGATATTCACTTATTCTTTTCGGGTAATTAATTTCATGGAACTGATTTTGTTCAAATTTGGTTGTTCTTTTACATGTTTAGGTCATTGGAAACAAATGGGATGAATATCTTGATCTTCTCCAAGCTGATTACTCCGAAGGGTAAGAATCCCTACATACTCTGACCCCCC